CCTAAGTAGAGACAGAACTTTTACCAAATAATCTGTATTTTAATCCAAAGGTTACTAATGATGAAAAATGTACCAACTGATGGGTTGCACATAGTACTAACGGTAACCTCATTATAATAACAATTATAATGCTTGCATTTGATATAGTGCCTTTCACATCAGGAGGATGTCTCAAAGCTCTTCACAGGATTTACTCTGAAGTGTTGGGACTGGATATTTTATTGGGAAAACCAAACCCAGCAGACACTTTGTACACAGCAGTTTCCCAATCAACCAAGAAGTGAATTGACCAATTTTATCTGGGTGATTGTAGTTGATAATGGGAGAAATTCCCCTTTCCTTTTGAGCATGGGATCTTTAACATCCATCTGAACACGCAGATAGAACCTTGATTTAATGCTTGATCCAAAGGATGGCACCTGTCACCTTCAGCACTGTATTGGAGTTTTAGCCTAGACTTTGAATTCAAAGTCCAAATGTGTGGCTTCAACGCACAACTTTTCTGACTAAAAAACAACAACAAAATTACATTTGTATAGCACTTTTCATGTCACAAGAGCTGAGCCAGACTGCCATCTTTCATTCTGTTCATAAAAGCTGAAATAAGAATCCTGCTAATTCTACTTTCACATAATTTTCATGCACAATTTAATTGATGCAATATTTGATTAATGATATTTACACAAAAAAAGTGAAGGCTTTTCTCAAAATCAATATGCTCTTGGCCTGAAAGAAAGCAGCTGAAATCCTAAATTGTGTTTTATTATGACAATAAATAAGTTTAAAGTGTAAGCACGGTAAAACATGATTGTATTTCAGCAATGTTTCACTGACTTATCAACTATACTTTAATATCGTGAATGTTGACACCTGCCACCCTCAGCTCTGTGTTGAATTCCTTTCTTGATGTATGAAGTCTAACTAACTTGTCAATTGGACGAATTATTGACTTTGGTTATTGACTTGGATTAGATTGATGCAAGCCAAGCTTGATTGGTAGAAGAGCTTAATATTATGTGATGCATTTTATTTTATATTGCAAACTAATTACACAGTTAAGGTCATAGTCCAGCTCTAAGGCATAAAGGTGCTGTTTGTATTCTCAATTTCACAAAATCATAAGAAAGCTTAAGAAGAAAATCTTTTAATCTTGTTCGTTCTGATCCATCTAGAGTACCAACATTTCAAGAAGATCCACTCTTGGGACATCACTCTTCAAGGCTGAAGAACCCTAGCTTATCTTATCATTTTTAATTGCTCTTCCCTTTAATGTGAAGGATCGGTTATATTGCTTTCCTCTGCAGTACCTTTAAGGCTTAGGTGGCCTCCTTATATTGTGGCAACAAGAACTGAATACAACAACAACAACATGATTGCAATTATAGAGCGCCTTTCACGTCGGGAAGACGTCCCAAGGCGCTGGACAGTTGGGTCGGGACCCGAGCAGGGGGGAAATGGTCAGGGTGAGGGGAGAGAAGGGAGGGAGTGAGGGAGTAGAGAGTCGAGAGGGGAGCTGATCGCACGGTTGAAGAGAATACTGTACTCCAGGGGTAGCAGGACTGAAAACATTGTACAGTTTGAGGAAAACTTTCAAGAATCTGAATTCAACTCAATTGGCAATGTAGCCAGGCACCTGTGTACCTATTTTCATGCTCTGATTGGCAGAGAGTTCAGGGAATGAGAAGTGATGTCCCATAAGGATAGGTGTTGGGGCCTCAGCCTTTCATGCTATATATAATTAACCTGGATATAGGAATAGAGGGGTATGTATCAAAGTATGCCGATGACATTAAGATGTGCAGTACATTGAATGACGAAGTGAGCAGGAAATTGCCAAAGAATATTGATCGATTAAACCAGCAAAGCAATAACAGATGTAGTTCAAAGTAACAAAATGAACACTTGTAAATCTTGGATATAAGATTGCCAGGTGCAAATCCATCCTAAATGGTGAGATAATGGATGAGGGGTCTAGGGATGCAGGTACTAAAGGTATTAAAAACTAGTTCATAGGTGCCGAGAGGAATCAAGAAGGCTATTGGGATGCAGAGCTTTATCACAAGAGTTCATAGATGGGGCTATATTGCTGAAGAAGTTGAGCTTAGATCCCCAGAAATGATACTCAGACTATCTAATGATCTGGTCAGGCTACACCTAGAGTACTGCACACTGTTCTGGTCACCATGATATAAGGGCACTGCCCAGGCCCTAGAGACAGTGCAGAGGAGAACAAGGATGATCTTCAGTGTTATGGGATCAACAATTAGACAAGCTTTAATTTTGAGAGATGACAACCTTATAGAGATGTAAACATTTTAACTGGGATTAAAAAAATAAAGCCAGAACAATACTTCAGGATGCACCTGAAGAGTAGGACATGAGGACATTTGTTTTCAGTTGCAAAGGGCAATTTCAGGATAGATGCTAGTAACTTTTTGTTTACCCACAGGGTAATTAATGACTGGAATAAATTATCAGGAAGGTTGATTAAGGCTAGGACATTGGACTCAATTAAAAAACAAAATTTTAATCTGTGATGGGAGGATAGTAGGGTGGGTATCCTGAGGGATCAGATCAGATGGACCAGAGGGCTTTCTTCATCCAGATTTGCCAAGATAATAGTTTGGATCAAAGGATTTAACGATGGTGAGATGCTTAATAAACTGTGGTTATACAGGTTTTTTTGAAGACAGGATATTGAGGGATGATTTGATTGTTGTGAGTAGGTATTGCCAAAAAACTATACCAAAACACATCTCTCTATTTAGGGAATCCAAAATAAATGAGCATGATCATAAAGCAATGGCTAAGTCAGTGAAACAGCAGGATGGCCCAGAAAAAACAAGAATTAAATGTTCCTAGATATCACAAGATCAGAAGATTGGTCTGGATGAAGAAGGTCCTTTGGCCTATAATAATAATAATAATCCTTGCATTTGATATAGCGCTTTTCACGTCGGGAGGACGTCCCAAAGCTCTTCACAGAACACACTGTAAAGTGAATTGACTGTGTATGTTTGGACGAATGCGGCAGCCAATTGCGCACAACAATGTCCCACAAACAGTTGTAGATTGAAACTGACCAATTTATTATTGTTTTTGGTTTTGGAGGGATTATTATCCAATCATATCCCTACAGAACACCTTCCCTAGGGTCAGTTGGGGCACTCTAAAGAGAGGTAGATAAATACTTACCTTGTAAGGATACAGTATTGAGGGAAAGAGAACAATTGGCAGAGAAATGGAATTAAAGGAGATTCCTGTAGACTTAATGGTGGATCATGATTGATAGGCTAAATGACCTACTGCTGTTCCTCTGTTTCTTTGGCTTGATGTTTGCTGTCTCATACTGTTTAGACATGATGAGTAATGAAGCACTTAACACTCCTTTCAACTTATTTCTTGGAAAATTCTGCCTCATCATTTTTGCTTCTCTTATGTAATACCTTGTATTTATCTGTATTGAATGAATTTGTCAGTGTTGACAATGAGGAGCATAGGCTTGAAGTTGTGGAAGGAGGAGAGAGGGGAGATTGGGTGAGGGGTGATGGAGGAAGAGGAAGAGACAGCTGAGTGAGCAAGATAGTGAGTTATCTTTTCCGTTGTCGACATAAGGAAGCCCATCACCTTGGATTTCACGTTGGATGGAGGGGTGAGGGGAGGGAGTGGAGAGGGTGATGCAGATGAGCAAATCCGCTTAATTTTCAGCACGAGTAAGGACATCAAAGGTCACATAATATGATTTGTATAGAAAAGGGAGTTTGTCCTGGCGAACAATCATCCAAATAAAAGGTCATTCACCATATTTTTGTGGGGTTTTGCTGTGCGTAAATTGGCTGCTGCATTTACAAGCAAATACGCAGTTATTGCCCCTTCACAACAGTGAAGTTGTCGTATGTGCTGTGTCAAACGTAAGCATTATCTTGTTATGAAGTTTACTGTCCATCCACTGTAGGAGCATTGAGTCTATTTTGAGTGTCACCCTTTGGCAAAATCAGCAGTGCTGCAGTCTAGACTTCTGAATCCTGTTGGCAGAGAAATGACATTGATGACTGAGTTTCCAGGCTATACAGGGGAAATCTATTTATCTAATAAAGTCTCATGGTTTTGGGAGAGGAAAAATCATTGGGGGTATGCTGCAATCCAGTGACTCCTAATGTAAGGTAGTTGCACGTGATGTTGAATGAGACAGTATTGTGTTCAGTTGTAATTGTTCTCACAGTTGAATAACTTGCACACTATTAGGAACCCAAAAATCGGAGGAGGCCATTCAAGTAGTCAAACATACCATTTCATTAGATTCACCCACAAAATATACAGTCAGTTCACTTTACGGTATATTCTGTGAAGAGCTTTGAGACGTCTCAACCACGTGATAAGGCTCTATATCAATTTGCAAGGAAGGATTTCATATTATTACGGTGGATCGTTGCATCCCATTTTTTTCTTAATAGCCTTACTTTCCAAGTGTCTGAGCATCTCCTTTTTAAACATCCTGTGGAGTCCTACAGCTCAGTGGTTAGAGCACTCGCCTCGCAAGCGAGAGACCTGGGTTTGATTTTTTTAAAGTAGGAAACTGGTTGTTAGTCAGTTGGCAGATTGCTTTTCCAGGGGTAACAATTCCTTCAAAAAGAATAAAATAATAAATTGGTCACTTCAATCCATGACTGGTTGTGGGACACTGCTGTGCGCAATTGGCTGCCGCGTTTCGCCCACAAAATATATAGTAATTCATTTTCCAGTATATTCTGTGAAGCGCTTTGAGACATCTCGAATACATGATAAGGTGTTATATCAAATGCAAGGATTATAATTATTTCCATTAACTTCTGCTTTGCAGGTCTTCTGGGGTAGTGCATTCCATATTGTTACAACTCTGGGTGAAGAAATGTATTCTTTTCTAATCTAGTTTTAGTCTAGTCTAACTATACTTTCACTGTAATAAATGAAGATCCATTATGTTTATTGGTACATTGATTGAATCATTGTCTTATCCATAGGAGAGAGCTACGTCTGCGCATCTATTGAATTATTTCGGAAACTGGACTACACAAAGAATGTAAACCCCAACTGGTCAGTGAATGTCAAGGCAACTGCATCTGGAAGAACACCACCATCTCTCAGTAGTGCCAAGGCTATTCCCGTTGAGTCGAAAGAGAACAAAGATTTCATTCGACCCAAATTGGTCACCATCATTAGGAGTGGTGTGAAGCCACGGAAAGCCGTCCGGATTCTTCTGAATAAGAAGACCGCCCATTCATTTGAGCAGGTTCTTACAGATATCACCGATGCCATCAAGTTGGATTCGGGAGCAGTGAAACGTTTGTACACACTTGATGGAAAACAGGTAAATGTCTGCGGTGCTATACTAATGCTATTGAATAAAATGGGAGTTGTTTGCTAAAGCTTCAGCTGGACAGACAAACTGGGGAGGGATAAACAATACATGAAGCTGTATTGCTGTATCGAGAACAGCAAGCAAAGGGTGCCACTCTAAAAAATGTCGTAACCAGGGACATATGCCAGGCTTTGTGCAAGAATCAACCTAATGTTCTTTAAGATTTAGTTATATGTACAATGTATAGATGTAAGCCAAATTCAGAATTTTCTTCATTATCATTTGTGATGGTGCAGATGCTCCTTGTGAGTAAGTAAATACTGTGTGGTATGTTGGCAGTTAAGCTAATTATAGATATTTTAAACCGTTAGCCCCGCATTATCACTCCAGGGAAAACTGACTTCATGAAAATGAATGTTTTACATTCAAACACTAATTGCAATAACTCTAGCATCTTAAAGATTAGAACTTCTTCTCAATGTAATTGAATCCTTCAAAGACCTCCACAGCCTTGCTCCTCCCTCCCTTTGTGACCTGCTAACTCCAGATTTACCGGTGCGCTTCCTCCGCTCAATGGGCTCCGGCGTGCTCCATATCCCCTGCTTGGCCCACTTTGCCATCACGGGCGGGCCTTCAGCTTCTCTGCCCCCACCCTTTGGAACTCCATCCCCCAGTCCCATCACCTCAGTCCCTCCCTTGCTTCCTTCCGTCTCAAGACCTTCCTCTTCGACTGCATGTTCGATCAACCTCCTACTCTACCCTCTCTCCCCTCCACTCCTCCTGATACCAACCCGAGCTTGGGTACAAACCCCTGACTGTCCAGCACCTTGGGACGTCCTCCTGATGTGAAAGGCACTATACAATGTAATTTGTTGTTGAGACATCAATGCTACAATATACTTCTATACAGTATTAGTCTCAAGTAACAGAAGTTTAGCTTTCAGACCTAAATAAATTATTGGAATATAAACTGATTTATTGCGCCTGAATTCATTACCCATTGGAATGGATCCCTGGGTTGGCTACAGATGTTTTACTTTGTATCTTCATTCTTCAAGGGTTCATCTAATTTAGTTTTTGTGTGATGTAATTGACACCGCCTCAGTCATCACTTATGGTACTGTCTTTCACACCATAATAGCCCTATAGACTGAGATAAGTGGTATTCCAGGGAGCTGGTCAAGGACCGTCTGGAAAGTACAAAGGTCTTTTCAGGCTTGATACTGGCTGCAGTATTGGGGCCAAGATCACAAATCATAGAAGTTATACCAAGATAGATAGATCTTAGGGATGATGATCATAGCTACTGAACATTAGTTTAATGAGGGAACATGTATATGGAGCACAGAAGTAGACAACAAATCTGCAGGAAGATTTAAAACAAANCAGTAACATAGGAAATAATGTGGAGATGGATAGGAACATAGAAACACGAGGAAGCCATTCAGTCCATTGAGCCTGTTCTGCAAAAGAACAGATTAACTGGAGAAGGATTTTTTTGAAAGCAATTATTCTCACCCTCTGACTCTCGTTAGGGCTTGGGACCAAGGACACTGGATTCACTTTACCCAACTGGCCATTTGCATGTAAACCTGACAATGAATGCTTACGTGTGAGACTGATAGTGAATGTGGATGTGTGAGTCTTAATAATAAATATTGGCCCACGGGTGTGACATTGAATGTTGATGTGTGAGTGCAACAATGAATGTTGACGTTTGAGACTGACAGTGAATGTTGTCTGTTGTATTCACACTTTATTCTCTCCATAACCCAGAGCACTGTGACTAGCTGTAGCTCCCTCATTCATGTCCTTGATAAAATCATCTAACTCGGTAGAGACTGAAACCTGCAACATTTCTCAACACTTTTTGGAAAGCTGCAAAGGATTAGAAAATCAACAGCTTGAAGAGTAGGTAAGGTCTTAAGGGATATGTAAAAAGGGTGGAGAAATGGGATTCAGAAATCTTCCATGATCGATTATAAATGCTGGAACAGCCTCGATAGGCAGAATGCCAACTCCTGTTCCTATACCTTAGGGCAGTTTGAATTTATACTGATTTCTGTCCCTAGTGAAAGATTACATTAAATAGTTTTTAAGAAAAAAACAGTGAAACCATCAGGACCCCCAATTCTACATTGGTATCTTACACTCTACCAATCTGTACCTGTATTGTCCAGACATATGCAGTATAGATATTGTGTCTTCAGCCCCTCCACCCCCCCAACCCCATGGAGTTCACTCCAAAACTGACAACCAAAACTAACACTTGTGGGTTTCTTGGTTGCTAGGTGTAAGAGACGACTCTTAATCACAATAAGGGGTTTAAGTGTGTGCTAAACACCTGGCAGCCTGTTGCCCCCTCCCCTCTTATAAGAAAAGATGAATTCTCAAAATCCCAAATTTGTTGTTTTGGTGAACATTTAACTGTGTGGCAATTTGTACTCAAAGGAGTACCAATCTAAACTATTTTTGTGTTCTTTGCTTTGATAATTACATGCAGTACTGTTTTACAGAGTTCTTGGTATTACTTTTAATGTGTTAACAGCTATGATATGAATGGAATTTAATTTAGCATTCTACAAAGAGTATACATATGTAGAACTCAGTCTGGATACTCTTAAACATGGTGATTGGTTTTCACATGTGTCAGATACCTGGTTGCAATTTTGTTTTACAGAGAGTGTTGTTTTGTTTTGGCAAATGTTAAGGTATTAAAAATGGACTCATTAAGCCATAATAGGCTAATATCCAACATTCTTTACAAGTAGATGCTATTCTTATTATCCTTTTTGAAGACTTTGGAACAGCATCAAGTACTTTTGTTGGGAGTCTGATATATTCTGTTCTCTGTATGTGTGTGTGGGCGTGTTTGGGGGGGTGGTTGTCAAAGTTCATCTCGCCTTTAGTCTTTAATTTGGTTAGTTCAAGTATCCTCTTTTCTCAACAATGGTTCATTAGTGTTGCCCAAGTGGATATTCCTCCTTCAGAGCAGGTATCATTTTCGGTTACAATGAAGAAATTAAGTCCCTGACCAGAATGCAGATTTATAGTGTGAGCCAACAGTTCACAGTAACTAACCTATCGAATGGATACAACATCATCACGTCAGCTACAGAGAATGTAAATTCTTTTTGTGAATGCTCCCAGCAGACCTCAGAAACTAGAACAGGAAGGAAGTGTTGTACCTCAATGCATCTATTTTAATTGTGCATTTTTCCCCATAACCACTATCACAACTCCAACTACAAATCTTTTATCTTGTTCATTTAGAAAGAACAAAGTAGAGCACTATTTCAGATTGTATAAGAATTATATTTCTTGGCTATCTGTGGACAAACGTGGCATCCATGTCCCATAAACAGGTGAATGACCAATTAATCTGTAAAATTGTTGGCCAGAACCCCAGGAGAGACTTACTTCTTCTTCAAGACCCATCTCATGACCCTCCTCTTTGACCATGTATTTGGTCTCCCTCCTACCCCAACCCTCCCAGTCCTCCACCCGTCCTGATCCCAACCAACAGCTCGGGTGCAGATTCCCAACTCTCCAGTGTCTTGGGACGTCCTTCTGACGTGAAAGGCGCTATACAAATTTGTTGTTGTTCTCCATTTGAATGGTCACGCAGGATCCTCTGAAATCCACCTGAAAACACTCGATTTTGGTTAAATTTTGAATATATTCATAATAATACATTCATATCCTCACCAAAATACGTTTACTATTTCTATTTTGAATTTCAGAAAATACAGTTTTGAACGTGTTTTGCTATTTGAATTTCTTGGTGACATTTGCTTTTCTGTTGCCTCTTTTGCTTCGACACTTTATTTTGATAATTTATCACCTAAGACAGGCCTCTCAGTGTTTATTGTTTGCACGGTTTTGCAACAGTAGCTGTGCACCATTTTGTGTCAATATTCTGGTACAGTTGGATAATATATATTTATTGTGTTTTGCATTGCCTGTCAGATTCACTGGGGGTAGGGAATCATTCAACACAGCTCATGTTAACTCTGCAAGTCAAAACCCTAACGGATAGGGTGGTCCTAGCTGGACAAGCAGCGGAAAAGCTTGCCAGACAGTGATATCAATGGCACACTATACGGTTATAGCTGGTTAGACTCCAGCAGTACCCCAAAGCACACTCTGGGATCGTCAAACCTTGGCTATTGCCAATCTGTGCATAATACTTTTCGTAATTAGGTAAACGGAGTGTGCAATCCATTCTCACAATCTGTCTCTGGAATTTCCATGTGTAGGTGGGATGCCTGGAAGTCTCAGCTTGGTTTGGATGACCATGGTGATGGGTTTCCACATGGGTCTGGTGAAACAAAAAAAACACAGTCACAGTTTTTCAATTTTTATTTATCTCCCAGGTAATCTCTAATACTCTTAACTAGTCAATGATTATATTTATTTTAATCTATGGTTTATAACAAAATTAATCAAACTTTGGAACAGCATCAAGTGCTTTTGTTGGGAGTCTGATCAAACTTAAAAATCCAGAAATGCACTGATGAAATCTATTTATAGTCAGTCCTTCTTCAGTATTAACTGCAAAACAAGAGATATTAAATTGGAAACAAAAGGCAAAATACTGCAGATGTTGGAAATCTGAAATGAAAACAGAAGTCCCTGGGAATACTCAACAGATCAGGCAGCATCTATGAAGAGGGGAATGTGAATTAATGTTTCAGGTTGATAACCTTAGGATGAAAGGTTATCGACCTGAAATCTTTACTTGCTTTCCTCTCTCTATAGATGCTGCCTGACCTGTTCAGTGTTCTCAGCAACTTCTGATATTAAATTGGAGCCTTCGGTGATACTGTATTATTGAACTGTCCCTTTGAATGTCTAGAATATCTATCAACTGTTTTTTTCTTTGATGCAAGGTATTTTCTCCTCTCATGGTTCTCCCAGCATTATGCCTTATCACCCAGCTAAAAGTGAGAGCAGGTGCTTCTCTATTGTTATGTGAGGTGTATTGAGGAGTCTAGAGATACCACACT